ATGATAGAGTAAAAAAACAAATAAAAAAGATAGGAGTTTTTTTCTTGGTAATACACAGCTAGGAATAATTGTGTAATTATGCCACTACTTCTTTTGCAAGGGAACAGGAAACAACAGCCAAACAAGAATCTGAACCGTTACTTTAGTAATGGAAAAAGTTCAGAAGAGAACAATTGTATGATACCAGCAGGATATGTCATTATTCAGAAAGAGATTTGATTGACCCAGACTTTTACACACCGGAAAGACATTGATGACGATCTATCCATTAAGAAATATTAACTCTGAGGCCAAGGAATATCCAAACCCCAAACCTTACTTATTTTGTTTAATGAAGAGAAACCAACATGTTCATCAGCATTATTAAAGGAACCAGAGACTGTGGAAGATACTCTATCAAGCCCAAAAGGCAAAGAGTGGAAAGAAGCTATGGATTAGCGAGTATGAATCGCTCTTCAGAATAATACATGGACATTGGTAACTCTACCTGAAGACAAAAGAATAATCCTTGCAAATGGGGTTTACAAAATGAAAATAGAAAATGCAAATGGTGAAGTGTACGATACAAAGCAAGCATTAGTAATTAAAAGATTCAACAGTAGGTTAAAAGAACTGAATATAATGAAATGTTTTGTTTTTCAGTAGTACTGGCACACTTCGCAATAGATCATTTGTTTTCACTAGCTTGTAAAATGAAAATTTATATATAGATCAAATGGATTCAGTTTACAGCATTTTTGCAGTGGAGATATAGATTCTGAAATATATATAATCATCCAGCATTCTGGCCTGTGAACACGGACAAAAAGTTTGCAGATTTAAATTAAGTCTATTTATGGTCTTATAACTTAGGCGTGTTCGAAATGGAATTTGAACTTACTTCTTTGTCTTCAAAACTAGTAGGATTGTGAAAGTACGTTTCTGTTGATATCCCATGTATTTATCTACAATAATATGATAATGAAAACATCATTTTATATTGATCTATGTTTGATTGAATTTATTATTTTTTTATAATAATGAAGAGAATATAGAGAGATCAAGCTACAACTTAAAAGTAACATTGAAATGAAATCACTTGGACTCTGTCAATTATTTTATTTGGTCTGGAGATAATGTCAAACGCGGCCAGAGACCTAAATTTATATATGATCAGTACTGCTTAGTATAGAAAAAATGTCTACAGAATTCAATTATAACAGATTGTGATATCTAGTGTCATTCGCTCCTGTGATCTTAGTCTAAATTGAATCACAGTACAGGTATGATGAATAATAATTTTAGATGCCACCTTATCAATGAATGCTATTGGAATGTTTACTTTACTTATCACAAAGGTAACAATGACCAGATATTGTTTTGTTTGTAAACAAAATAGTTATAGTTCATATCAATCAAAACCAGAAACACTAACTCTAGTTGGGTCATGTAAAAAAGAGTGCTTACTGTCTACTTAAAGGAAACTAAGGATTTATAAATTAATTTTGCATAGATAAAGATGAAAGAGGAGTGTTTGGCTACTGTGATTCAGATTGGCTAATGACTTATTAACGCCGGAGATCGATGCTCGGTGCTTACATTTTTTTGTTTCAGGTGTTTTCAAGTCTCATGTGTTTCTAAACTGACAGAACTACAGTTGCCTATCAACCATGGATGTTCTGATATATGGCACTAGCATACGGCTCACACAAGAGGCTATGTGACTAAGCATTAGTTAGTCGAAACTAAATTGGAAAGCTTATGTAATGTCTTGATAATGAATAAATTGCAACACTGAACGCCATCTATAGTTAATATTTTTGTATCTTGTCATAAACCTTTACGTGTTGCAACTTACTTCTGTAATTACTTATTGTTCATTTTATTTTTACAATATAATATTAGTTCGTCGATTGCGTTAGTCGTGTTTTTATTTTATATTCCTAGTTTATCAATGTAATACTTAATACTATCATTTAGAGTTAATGGGCAATAGATGTCCTGATATAGTATATTAGGAAGTTTTGGTCAAATATATGTAATATAAGACTGTGATTCACTTAGATTGAAGTAGTTAACCTAATATATTCTAAATCATAATTCGGCCATTGCCGGCGTGCTCATGTTTTTTTTTTCCTCAGCCAATTTTTCAGCTTATTTTTTTTTGAGTAAAGAAAATTATTAATAATATATTGGCATCAAAATATCAATTGTGGTTACTATTGAGAAACTAAATTGAGAAGAGAAAATTTACCAAAGTTGGAAGTTTGCCGTAAAAACTACCTTTCGAACATGATAGAATTGTTGGCAAGAGATTGGAATCCGTGATCCAGCCTTATTGTATCTGATAGCAAGAAAAATACGATAAGCAAAATCGAAATAATTACTGTGGTGGACCCAGTTAATTACGTTCATGTACATTAGAGGATACAACAGCCGAAACAGGTTGGGACTAATAGAAAAAGTGTTAGGAATGACTCCGGGTTTAGCAGAAAAAGTAGTTTATAGAGAGATTGATCACACTAGTCTGGACAATTGCTCTGAGTGTGTCTGAAGAATATGTCATATAGCAGTGTAATGTCATTACAGCTCAACAAGTTGAGAAATATCAATTTTGTTAGTATAAGGTGGACGAGTGCTGGGTTTACGTTGCTGCTCCCTGGTCTCCAGATTACTACAAAGCTCATGATAATGGCTTTGGAAGTCTCCGGTGTGAATATTACTGCAGATTACTGTAAAACATATTGTTACAATGAAGTTTAGAGTATCATATATTCATTGCTTGCTTACTATGTCCAAGTCTATATAATTAAACATAATATTGTCAAAGCATAAAAAATCCTATAACTCAATTTCAGAGGAAAGGGCAACCCAAAGATCACGTGAATTTGTATGTAACAAGTAATGGTCACATGAGATAGGTATGCATTCGTTAATTAACATGTTATATATTGAACAATGTTCTAAAGCACCTGGCATTTGTATCAACAGCAGATGAGCAGATATTGAATTTATGGCATCAAAAGAATGGCCATCTCAAATTTCAAGACATACAGAATGTAACTTGTATTATCAATGGTGCACAACTTGCTTAGGGAATAAATTGATGTAGATCAACCATTTAAAATATCTTAGAAGTTTTAAAGAGTTTAAGAATTAGCTCCAAAAGTAATTACTCATAACGAAATTAATGGGCGATGGACGTTCTGGATGGCAATATGTATATCATTGAGATAGTCAAAGTATTATATGAGTTGAAACTTATAGTTTTATAATTAGTAGTAAATAAAATATAAATTTAAGGTTTTACGCAAAGATGGATTATGTAATCGGAATTTTTGTTATAATCTGGTATCCAGCAATCAAACAAGTAATCCTCATATACACACAGCAAAAACGAGTATGGCAGAGCGTAATGAATCGCACATTATAGAGTGAGGCTAGATGCCTAATTTTGAATTCCAGATTACAAAAAAATATTTGGGATCTGCAAGGTTGTCCTCAATAGCGCATATATAATACATATCGTTTCACCAACAAAAGTTTGACTTACAAGACGCGCCCCATATGATTATGTGGAAGGTAAATAGACAAACTTAACAACATTGAAATATTTGGTTGTTCACTGCATGGTCAGTACAATAAGAAAAGCAGACGAAAATTGGACTCGAAAAGCTTACTAAGATGATATGTAGTGGGTTATTGCGTAATTATACTAAAGGCTTACAGATTGTATGATGAGAGAAAAAATAAATAATTAAATAGAGTAGATGATGTTGTTTTCTTGGAATACACAGCTAGGAATAATGCTGTATTATGCAGCTTACTTACTTTGCAAGAACAGAAACATACAGTCCAAACAAGTAATCTTTGATACCGATACTTTATAAATGAAAGTTCAGATAGAGGAACAATTGATGATACTCTAGTCAGTGATATGTCATATTTCAGAAGAGATTGATGACCCAGATTAACACACTCGGAAAGACATTGATGTACGATTCTATATCCATTAAGGATAATTATTACTCGATGAGGCCTAAGGATATTATCAAACCCAACCTTACTACTTATTTTTATGAAGGAGTAAACCACACATGTTATTCAGCATTATTAAAGGAAACCTAGGACTGTGGAAGAATTAACTCTATTCATCGCCCAAAAGCAAATAAGATGTGGAAAGAAGCTATAGGTGATTAGCGAGTATGAATTCGCTTCTCAGTATATACATGGACATTTGGTTTAACTCTACCCTGAAGACAAAAGAATAATCCTTGCAAATGGTTATACAAATGAAATTAGATGCATAATGGTGTAATGTGGTACGATACAAAGCAAGTATTAGTAATAAAGTGATCAGAACAGAGGAAATGAATGAATATAATTGAATTTTTGCGTCCAGTAGCTACGGCAACACTTCAATATAGATTTGTTGCACCTAGCTGGTAAAAGAAAATATTTATATAGAATCAAATGGATTCGAGTTACATGCTTTTTGCAGGGAGATTATAGATTCTGAATATATATATGGAATCAATCCAGCGCTGGGCCTGTGAACACGGACATAG